CTCGCCCTGGCATACGGGGCTTCATCGAGCAAAAGTAAACCGGCTAAAAATTTACAGATTTAAAAGATAGGGTGGATCAAAAATTACAAAATATTTCCTTCCTCTCATTTCAAAATATGTCTGTTGAATAGAAACTCCTAGGTCATTTGCCAAAAATAGAAAGCTAGACCCTTGGTCACTGATAACGGAGACAACATTCAAACCCATTGATTCTAAGTGAAGTAGGGCCTCACTTATAATATCCTTAAGTTTATTTGGTGGACATGATCCATTTACTAAATAGTATGCAAGTGGTTGTTTCCAATTACTTATAACAAATCTTGCCACCAAAACCAAAGCTAAATTTGCAATAAGACCAGATGTCTCTGAATCTATATAGTCCTCCAGTCCAGTGATTCTGTCATTAGGGATATCATAAAATGAATGACTCTTCAAAGATATTTCATCCATCATCAAACTACAGACCTTTGCTTCAGGTGGAAATGACCCAACATCAGATGCAAGTTTTCGAATAGATCTGGTCAAAGTTTTTTTTGGTGGTGGACATGGTGTCCACACATTGCAGTAAATCGAGTTTTTCAAAAATTAAAACCAAAGATTTTCTAGTCTATGGCCATTACAAAGGCATAATAGGTTGCTATAAAGATGACAATAATTTATATAGCCTACAACTCATGAAATCATGTGTTTGGACAGAAAGGTGTGGCTCTTCGTCAGTGTCCACCTCAATGACAGCTGGTTTCAGATTATTTAAAAAAAATAAACATTTTAGAGTGTTTAAACAGAGAGCAATCTGTCAACATGGGGGAATTTTAACACTTTCATCAAATCAAACCATAACCTAGATGATAAACAACTTACCAAAATAAATATTATCCAATGCAGTTCCCTCAGTTTCTGGACAAACTCTCTCTGCAGGTTCTAGAATAAAAAATAAAAAGATTCAGAACAAATGAATCTTTTTCATGAAAATACTTCAATTACTTTGCTATCTACAGGAACTCATTGTTTGCATGTTGAAATTAATTATAAAACAAATGCCACCAGCTTACAGGAGAAAGAATTAACCACTGCAGATCCTTCAGTTTCTAGACAAGATTTCTTTGCTGGTTCTTTTATTGAAAATTCACAAAGAACTTTACTGAAACGAATCTCTCAACTTTTATATACTTTGAAGAAAGAGATTAGGTTTTATCTTCTGTGTGCTTTGGAAATTTTCTGTGCGCTTTAGGCTTTCTGAAATCAAAACTACTTGTAGGTGCGAAGAGATAAAAGATTGTTCTAGTTACAGTAATTTTTAATTTCAAGTCAGCTAAAATTCCATTATTTCTAGATGTATTTGTTGAGCCAAGTTTTCAATCAAAATATTTTAAATATAAGATATACCACAAAATAGAGGGCAAACAGAATGAGCTGTCGAAGAATTAGCTACTTACGTTGTTGTATGAAGGGTAATGATAGTTTTATGGCAACGATAACAAGTGGTTTAGTAAATTCAAACAAAATAGGTATGGCACAACATGGTAATCTTGAAAGATTATTTTTGAATTTCGGAAGGAACTGGGGTTCAAAATTATTTGAGCAAATATAACAGTTTTTGCTTAGGTATGATGAAGATTTGTTAAGCAACTCCAAATGCTGCGCATTTCGCAAGCATTGTCTAGACCTAAAAAACAAGTTAATGGGAAATTCCATAATTTTAAAGAAATAAGTAATCTGAAGGATAGCAAGATTCGACTTAAAGTGCTACAAGGACTGAGAATTTTTCAACTTTGAAAATACGTCAATCATACTTGTTGCATTATTACCGCAGTCAGTTGGCAAACAATACACTCCCTTTGAATGCTTCTTGCCTGACTTTGGCCTTTACATTGCTGAAGATGACATAATCAAATAGACTTTAGTAAGAAAATTTTTCTGGTAGTATTCAACTGGCGAGTAAAAATTCCACGAAAATACATGCTAATCCTCGTTTTTGTACCTAAAAAGTAATACATGCGCGAGTAAAATAAGGCTTCAATTGCAAACGCTGAATGACCCTTCTAGTTATTCTTATTCTGTGATTTGGTTTTAAAGGTGAACTGACATGCAAAACTTTATTTTGATATAATGTAGAAAACGATGCATGGAATCTTAATTTCAAGTTTTCGGTTAATTATAATTGTCCGTGTTGACGCAATTCCGCTCTAAATCTCATGAAATGATCGTCGAGTGTTTGACCATTGTCGGCATTTCATGTGACCCAGTGCGTGTGACGTCACAAACACAATGTTTTATTCCTTGAATGCAAATCACGCACAAAAGTTCATCTTGTTCGGTTACTATTCGAGGAGATCTACGCGGCTTTTGATCCGAGATATATGAAAATTTGAGGCTAATTAAATGCACAAATCACGGCAAGAAAAGCCGACGTTTCCTTATAGTTTTAGAAACTGCTCAGAAACGAACAGTTTCTACCAATCTCACCAAAAAAAATTTGTAAGAAACTTAGAATTTCTGAAGCATAAATCACAATTTCCGACATCATAAATCAGCAGAAAGGTACATTTCCGTTTCAACCAAGTGCCACATCAGAAACGTTGGCGTTTCTTACAACGGAAACGATAAGAAATCTTAAATCTCCTATGCCATTTTTACAGAATAAATTTACGTTTCCAAAAAACCCCAGTTTCTTACTTACACAAAACCTCTGAAATTTAACTTTTTTATAGGCAAATGATACAGAATAAATTGAAATTTCCAAGAAATTCTAGTTTCTTACCTACGGAAACGGCTCAGAAATCTATCTTTTTTATGCAAATATTACTGAATAAATCTGGGTTTCCAAAAAACCCTATTATCTTTTTTTACCTTTGGAAACGGCTCAGAAATTTCAGCTTTATCTTATAAACAAAATATCATATTTATCGAAAAAGATCGGCAGGTTGAGAAAATATCAGAAAAATTTCAAAAAAGATATATCAAACTCATATCCATGAAAATTATCAGAACATTTAATGGTGAAGACACCAATAATGCTACTAACAATAAAATAAGTTCATATTTTATACAACTATATATTATATTGGATAAGAAGAGCGGACTGACATGACATTTATGGACTGTAATTGCCAAGTTAAGATAAGTCAACACTAATAGATGAAACTATTAAAAATAAACCTATTTGATTAAGTTCTTATTGTAACCGTTTATATTCGTTAGGAAGAGTGCAGGGGATGGAAATTCATATACTCAGGTGGAAAGTGAAATGGCGGCTTTAAAAGGGCATATTTGGAAAAAGGATATTAAAGATTGTCGAGATACACTCACAGCGATGGTGAAAGGAAGTACAGCGGTTTTGGGTTTTTGGGATGATGACCGTTTGACGGGATGCAGCAAAATTGATACAACTATACATCAAGGGTCTACCATATATACCAAGGATTGCAGCTATACATGGTCCTGGGAAAACTGGAATGCACACATTGGCGTCAAGCGAAGCAGTAAACTGAAGCGGCTCGGAGGCGTGTGGAACATCTCTATGGATAGACAAACAATATTTTAATCGATTTTTATTATTATAAAAGGTCATATAAAAAGCCAAGCAGATTGACAAATAATAATAATAACTGTTATTGTTTAAAATTGTCACAAAATCGCTATTTTTTCAGTTTGAAAAGAAAGATTTCTATTCAAATATGGTAAGACACTTACAAATGTATTTCCTAGGTTTAGGAGAAGACAGTATTTTGTTTTAGTTCAGTTTTGCTGTCGTTCTGTTCAAAGCTAGGAAAAATTCCAAATGGTAATAGCAGAAAAATCTAAATTTATCGGCCCTCCTATAAATATTGATATGTAGACTATAGGTAGAAAAATTGCTACAAACCATTACTATTGGTAATGCTCAGCTATATGAAGCCGTATGTTCCTCCACACCTCCGAGCGATTGTGGCCATATCGCTCTCAACCAAATAGGATGGTTTCATGTGGTCGAGACTGCCGTAAACTGCCTTCAGTTTACGCTTCGCTCTTGACCAGTAGGCCTCTACACTGTTTGTGTGCACTCCAGCGATGGGGTCAACAAAGTTTTCTGCGTGAATGATAACTCCGTGGTTCAACCCCAACGCTCCCAGTCCATTGTATGCTGCCCAACCATCGAAATATATAGTAGATCCAGGTCGTGTATATCGCTGTATCAGTTGTATCAAGGTGTCTGCATCGACGTTGCTAGAAAGAGGAACTAGCGGAACGTGCGCGGAACGACTGAGGAATGACCGCGGAACGAGCGGAACGAGCGGAACGACCACGGAATGAGGAGAGAACTAGCGGAACGACGAGGGAATGACCGCGATACGAGATGAGGGCTAGCGGAAAGACCAAAGAACAATACACCACTTCAACTTACGGCCTCATTTTGAAAAATTCTTCAAATTCTTTTTTACAAAATATTTCACTTCAGATTCGGATTGACAGCAAGGGATTAATGTATCGCTCACGATATTGATTTTATGACGACATTAAGATAAACATTTTATAAGGGATTTTACCGTGATTGCCGACCATGGGTGTAGTGTAAAATTTCCCCCAGAATGATTTTTGCGGTCAAATCCCTTACAGGTTTTCAAACTTCATTCCTCTGTAAAATCTAAAATACAAGCACAAACAATATGAAAGATTGTATCCAACCTAAAATTATGGCGATAAAACCAAATCTGAGCTTGAAAAGCTGTATAATGAAGTTTGGAGGAATTTCCAAAACGAGACTTTCAAAGTCTAATTAGAGTATGGATGGATCAGACTAGATCAATAAAAAAATAACTTCGAAAATAAATATGAGATGCAAGATATATAAAAGAAATCATGCTGGAATGATCAAGTTCTGTCAGGGCCCTCGAAATTTTTTTGCAACAAAATCTTTTGTTTAGGGAGTTTAATTTGCACTGTTTCTGATCTGTAGCACATTAGGCTCAACATTCAGAATATCGTCGTGATAAAATTTCGTCCCTAGCCTTGCATTATCTGAAAGTCCCTAGCCTTGGCCTGCAACTCAGTCAGGTATTTTGCTGGATCCGCCCCTGTGAGGCAAAATAACCAGATCCTTGGAGACTTGAGCCCCACTGGGAATTTGGCTTAGCCTTGCTCACAGCATTTTCATACAGAACAGCATTTTAGAAAATCAAAACAAAAGCGTGATGTTTCCCACGTTTGTTATGTCAAGGCAAATCAAGTTGTGTCCATGCTCTCAATTAGTCTATACCCTCAATCAATACGGTATGAAAGTATTCCGTTGTTGAATATCACCGCAGCGATTATGTCGATATGGCAAAAGGTTCAAAGGTAAAAACATTAATTAGTCTAGTGCGAATACATCTCTTAGCAACTTAATGAATAATAAACCAAAACATGACACCAAAATAATGTGCGCCTGCGAAGTTCCCTGACAGTTATTCCATCAAAAAGTCTTCCTGTTGAGATCAGTGGGTTGTTCCGCGGTCATTCCCTGCTCGTTCCGCTAGTTATCGCCTCACGCCATAGTCGTTCCGCTCGTTCTGCGGTCATTCCTTAGTCGTTCTGCTAGTTCCGCGCACGTTCCGCTAGTTCCTCGTTTTAGCAACGTCGTGTCTGCATCCCGTCTGCCGACAAGTTCGATGACACCCACCTTGTCTGCCGGTTATACATCCCAAAAATCCATTGTTCGTGCTGGGGCCTCATCGTCCTCCTGTTGTACTTCCTTTTCACCAACACCGATTCATCGATCTCCACAATCTGGCCCGGTCCACCGCGCATTCTGTCGTTCATGGGAAATCGAAGAAGCTTGGCAGAACATTCTTCTCGCAACATGTTGTACATTTCATTTTTTCATTTTATAATATTTATACAGGTTAAAGGTTCATACATATGTTTTCCAACCTGACCTGTTTAAAAGATTAAAATAAGAGCTTATAGCTATGTTATAATACTAGTAACAAAAGAAATTTACCAACCAAACCTAATCTACAATATTTAATAATACTAATGCTATAAAAAGTGAACGTAAAGATGAAATAAAAGTTGTCCCCGACTATAGTTGTTCTTTGAAGGTTTTCAGGGAGGGGGCCAATTCGTTAGCCCTTTCTAGACTGTTTCACAGTTTTGGACCGCGATAAGAAAAAGCCTTTTGGCCATTTATCGTTTTTAGCAGCGGTACCTTAAGATCAGTTTCTGATGAACGCAGAAACCGTTCTCTATCATCCGAACATTTTTCGAATAATTTTCTCAAATAGTCTGGTGCAAGCATATTTAGAGAGTTGTAAGTTAGCGTGGCTGTCTCCTTTCTTACAAGATTTCTGATGGTTAACCAGCCAAGATTCTGAATTATCGGAGCAGCAGACGCACCGTATGGGCTGCTAGTTACAATTCTGGCAGCTCTATTTTGGATTTTTTGCAACACGTCAAGCTTTGATTCATTACAGCAGCCCCAAACGGAACAACAGTAGCTCAAATGGGGCTAAACAATTCCTCTATACATTTTGTTGAGGATGTCAGATGGAAGATATTTCTTAGAATACTTGATAATTCCAAGGGCTCGATTAGCCTTGGTCTTGATAGTATCGATATGCTTGTCCCATTTGAGCTTACTGTCTATCTGAACACCTAAGTATCTTGTGTTGGTGATCATTTCAATGTTCTGATCACCTATTGAAAAAGAAAAAGATAGTGGAGTATCAGGCTGGCTTTCGATCTTACGGATGTTTGGACCAGAGCCTATAACAAGTGACTGCGTTTTCACTACGTTCAGGGAAAGTTTATTTACATGCAGCCAATCCTGTAGTTTCAAAAGATCTAAGTTTAGGTCATTTTGAAGGTCACCAATATTTTTTGAAGAGAGGGAAATGGCCGTGTTATCAACATACATGCTGACATGAGAATTTTGCAAGGAAAGAGGCAAATCATTGATGTAAATCAGGAACAAGAGTGGACCAAGACAAGAGCCTTGGGGAACTCCACAACTTATTCCCCTCACATCAGAGGAGGTGCCATCCACCCTGCAGAATTGCTTACGATTTTCCAAGTATGATGTGAACCAGTCATGTTCCAGGCCAGTCACTCCGTACATATTCATTTTTTCCAGTAGGATTTTATGATCGACCGTGTCGAAAGCCTTCTTCAAGTCAATAAAGACTAGACCAGTGTATTTTCCTCTATCTATATTCAGGTACCAATCATTGGTGCTAGCCAGAAGGGCTGTGGCTACCGAGTGTAAAAGTCGAAAACCCGACTGATGCTCATTTAGTGATTTATTCGCATCCAGGTATTCATAAAACTGATTGAAAATTAATTTCTCAAATAGTCTAGATATGAAAGGAAGAACTGATATTTGTCTATAGCTCGGCCTGTCATCCTTTGCGCCACTCTTGAAGATGGGTGCAATACGCGCTATTTTCCAGTCCTCCGGAAATTTTCCTGCAAACAATGATTTATTGAAGAGATCACACAAGAACCCACCAACAACTGGCAAAGCAATCTTCAAATAAAAGCTCGCAATGCTATCTTGACCTGAACCATACGATGTCTTCATCTTATTCAAGGTTGATGATAATTTATCTGCCATGATGGCCGAAAAAGAAAAACTTAATGGAGGAGTTTCAAACGGGTATTTACCAGACAAGAGTGGATTGGCTTTCTTTGGAATTTTCTCACTAAGTTTATTCCCAATGCTGCAGAAGTAAGTTTCCATCAACAATTTTGAGTTGGTTTTTACAGCTCGAGTTTCTAACTTATCTCTGGTTTTAGCCAATTTGAAATAATCAGCATTCAGCCAAGGTGTATATCTATCAGACACGCGTCTTCTCAATGTAGGCGCATGCTTTTCTAGAATAAGCGAAAATATTTGTGTCCACTTGCGTACTGCATCATCAATGTCTTGAGCATCAGCTACGAGTGCCTCCCAATTAACCTCAGAGAGATCTGAGAGGAAAGCCTCTTGATTAAAATTCTTCAACTGACGAGATGTTACATATTTGTGCTGGTGTTTAACACCACCATGCAGCTTTCTAACACAATATACAAGATAATGGTCACTAAGACTAATCTTAAGCACTCCACTCTCTGTAATATTGTTACAGTTTGTGATAGCTATATGATCAATCAAAGTTGAACTGTCTAGCGTGACCCTAGTGGGCTCTTTAATAATCTGCTTCATATCAAAAAGGTCGTACAGCTCACGTAACTGCATAATATGGCTCGGAGTATTGTCTCTATAACAGAAATCACAGTTAGTATCTCCTAGAATAATAATTTCTTTCCCCTCTCCATCAAGAAAGCTCAGGTTTTCATGAAGGCTGTCAAAGCAAGAATTAGGCTCACTGGGTGGTCTATACCAAGCTATGACAATGAACGGATTCGAATTCGGGGGCTCTACCTCTATGCAAATCAACTCAAGCGATTTATTAGGAAGATCTACCCGGGGTTTAAACCTGACTGTATTTCTGATATAGAGAGCAACACCACCACCTTGCCTACTCCTATCATATCTACAAAGAGAAAATACCAGTCAATAACTGTATGCTCTGACACAAGTGTAACGCCACTCGCGGTCGACATACTGGCGTCCATTGTCCAGAAATATATGATGAGAACTATCTTCTCCAATGGCAAATTTGAATTTTGAAAGAACGATCCTTCACAGATCGTTCTTGTCTTCCCACGCCTGCATTTTCACCGGAAACCATCCTGGCTATCATCCCTCGGCACCATCTGCATTTTTCTCCTGCAGTTTCGCTCCCAACACCGTATGGCTCTTTTTAGCAACACCTGCCCCTGCAACCACTCGATTGTCTGCCTATTACAATCATGTTGGTAGCGCTCGGGGTCAAATAGGGAAATCGGGGTCATATAGGGAAATCGTTAATAACTCCAAATATTGGACTGATATCGCAAAACAAACCTCAGAATCGGATTTGGCATGCTTCAAACTACCTTTTAGATGCTTTTTTAATTCAACTACGGTAATTTTAGCAGTATAAATCGCAATGTTTTGCTTCTACGTTAGCTTGAGGCTTGGCTCCTCCGTAGCTACGGGAGCAAATAGACAAAACTCGTTAAAAAGCACCGTTTTAATTCAAAATAAATAGCAAAAGGTAGTAATCGCAAAGAAAAATACACACTCTCTTCATATCAATCCAAATTTCAAACATCCTGCACCAAGGTTACAAGATTTCTCAAAATAAATCAGCTGAGTGATCGACGCGCTCGGGGTCAAATAGGGAAATCGCTGTTTGGGGTCAAATAGGGAAATCTTCAAAAACAGCAAGGAAACAGGGAACTAACCTCATTTCAGCGCGTAAAATGTCCAATCTATTGTTAACACCATTTAGAATGTTAGAAATCAACGTATATCATTTGATAAATTCATATCAAGTCAATGCATCACATAAATTTAGGCCCTTGTTTACAGATAGATCTCCTTCGCAGTTTCGGGGTCAAATAGGAAAACAGTTACCGGCGAGAGAGGGAGAGACACCTTGTCATAGCTGGGATAAATAGGAAAAATTCAATTAACATCTTTAAAATTCGCTTTTTGGCCCGAAATCAGAAATATTCTAAAGATAAATTTGAAGACTTTGATGTATGCTGAGCGATATCTCTTTACTTACATTGACGTGACGATAAAAATCTTTTCACAAAATTTGTTTACTTACATTGACATTTTCAATAAGTCCCATCAATGTACGACAGTTTTCAGAATTGCAGCTTTTTCCTACTTTCATGATAATATTTAAACAATCTGCGATTTTCAGCTGAAAGTTCCAAAACCTATAACTAGGGGAAATTTATTCTGTAAAGGTGCAAAGGAGGGTCTCCTGCAAGCAATTTGAACAAAACATTTTGCGATACAACCATTAGATTAGCTTGAAATACATTTCAGAATATTTCTTACAATCGTTTGCTTGAAGTCGTCAAAGACGTTTCAATTTTGTCTGAAATATAAACTCACTGAGGTACTAATTTCATTGCATATTTTCACTTTACCCATACACCAACTTTCCGAGCCTCGTCCCCCCCCCCCCTCCATTGCTAAGCTACTGATAAGAAGATAAAAAGTAAAATCTTTGCGTTACTTTGTTACTACTGGCTGCCAAAAAGGACACAGAAATATTGGGGGGGTGTCACACCCCCTACACATCTCCTGCAAAATCCGTCCCTGAGTACATTGCAAACTTGCAAAAAGTACAACAGATGTTGTAGCCACATATCTTCATAATAATAATAATTATTATAACTTTATTTCAGTGTCAAATTGATTTAGCATTTCTGCTAATTGGGGACACTTTTTACATACAATTTAGTAAAAAACGTAATCTACAAAAAGTGAAATGTTGAGAATTTCAAGAAAGGTTAAAGATCCTACAATGTCCATTGCATGAGTTGTCTTTTAGTAATGCCTCAAGGTCCTTTCGTCTAATACAGTTGCGGAAATTATCAATACCTGAACTTGTCTTTCAACGATTGTTTCCAAATTGAGATATCCAAATTGAAATTGAATGTCTAAGAGTTCTAGAGGATCAAGAACTCAAATGGAAAAGACCCCAAAAAAGACTTAAAGAGGTATTGGCACTCTAAAATTTACAGAACAATCTCTACACTACCTTTCTTTCTTAGAAAAAGAACTGTATAGAATCACGGCAGAGCCCTATTCAGTTACTGCTGCAGGGAAAGCATAATGGGGGGTCGGGTGGGTAACAACCTCACCTGCCAATTCCTAAGAGGGACAAAGGGAGCAAATATGCCCTTTTCAAAAAAGTGCCCTTGACATCAGCCCTTTCTAATCACTAAATAAATTCATATAAAAGCCTTGTTAATAAGTGCAGTTAACTCATTTACAAGATACCTTACGAAACCAAAGTGAAATACAGTTACAACAGAATCAATAGGA